TGGTGCGCCGACGGAACTCTTCGTCCAAACTCTTTTGGGCTTCTCGCGCCCTGACGCATTTCCTGTGGTGGTCCTCTGGTAGCCAATGTCCCTTTCGGAGACACCAATCTAGCAGGGGTGCGTCGCACTTGTTCCAGTCAATGGCCGCAATACTGGCGCTCACGTTGACCGAATAACCATATCTGCCAAGGTTCAAGCCTTCCCTTACGAATGATATATATTTGCAGTTGAAAGCCAGGGAGAAGCATCTGTAAACAACATCACCCACCGGGTGTATGCGATCCTTGACCAGGAGCTTCATTTCGTCTTTGGTGATGTCGAGGATCTTCGCTGCAATCCACAGCTTGTAGAATATGTATAGCCCCTCGCATTTGTACACCAAATAACGGATGTATTCGTTGCGCTCCTCAGCCGACCGGAAGGCCCTTTCTCGAACGCTCTGAGATTGGGAAATCTTCAGTACCGTTGATGGCAAAAGGATCCCTTCCTGATCAATCTCTGTCATGTTGGGGTACTTCCCGAAGTCGTTGTGGTATGGGCAGGCATGCTTCCCTTCGAGAGCGGCATCGATCGTTCTCTTTTCGCCACCTTCGAACATCCCCCACATCTTTGACATCTGCAGTGCGATGAATCCCGCCATGTATTGAGCCTCCCGTGGCTCATCCATGCAGATCGCCATCCGCTGGGAATTAATAATATCCCGTGATGCCATGTCATTGTCGCGGTACTCCCAACCACCGTCTTCTTCTTCGGACACGTAACCAGATGTATATCCTTCCGTGTCCATGTCGTCGACTTCGGGATCATTTTCCGTCTCATCACCCTCTTCCTGCTCCGCCGCGTTGTCATTGGCCTCTTCTTGTGCTCGTCTGGCGTCACCTGACACATTGGGTTTATGATCGTCCCCTTCGTCATCGGAACCAATGTGGATGCAGAATCTCCCGGTAAAGATCAATTGCGCCCCACATTCCAGACACACACAGAAGTACGTGGGAATCGCGGTTGCACATGACGGACAAATTCGGCATCGTAGCCCCTCCCATGTCTCGTCGTTCAGGATGATGGTCTTGCTGATCTCGTCCCTGATCTCGTTGGTCAGAGTCTCAAACTCTTCTAATTTGTTTTCCCGAAACAGTTCGCAGGCACGATCCACCATGCCTTGAACGTAGTGCAGATTGTCGGCACCCGCCTCTGTTTCAGGCATTCCCTCGATGACCTTTGCGACGTTCTGAAGGAACATCGTGGCCGACTCCTGGGAAGAACCAACGAATCCCGGGCAGATCTCATTCTCCACACATTTTGAGTACGCCCGCTTGGTGCTCTCGTACTCCAGGCATTTCCCCCCGTTGCTCTTGCCAATCCAAATGGATTTGACCTCATAGAACGGGATCACGTCAAAGACCATGAATGTTCCGTTGAACGCGACTCCAGCTCCGTATCGCGCGAGGGTCGCACTGGGAATGTAGATGATTGCAAGTGGATCTCCAGTCCTCAAATTTCGTAGCGTCGTCTTCGTTGCTACGTTCATCTCATCCCATGGAGCAAATGCCACGAAGTGCAATGCCAGCCTGTTTCCGCCATCGATTCCGCCAGGGACTAGCCCACAGCGTACGATGCTTGGCAGGTTCTCCACGTATGTCACATGGAATGCTCCTCCGAGAGTATCACCCATCCTTGCAGAGTACCTATTTGCCAATGCGGATGAGCTCATGAAGCCAAAGTCACTGTGACCTGTTGTGACTCGGATGCACCAAGGCCTGTACCATTCATCGCATCTGTAGAATATTCTTTCGATGTCGCCCCGATCCAGGCCAATGTAGTTCAACTCCTCCTTGGCGGCCTTCATGTCGTTCGGGTTCATGATGCTTGGAAACCTTGCTGCTAGGACCTGGAACCTTGACTTCTTGTGTCCAGATACCTGCCACTTGATCACTTCCATGATGCCCATGTATCGTTTTGCTTTCGAGGTCGTCGGTGGAAATATGTCGTTATTCCGGTCGTTGATGATTGCGTCAATGTCGACCCATCCGCCTTCATCACACCTGAAAGCACTTCCTCGGCAATTGCCGATCTTGTGTCGAAGGACTCTGCATAGATCATGAGATAGCTGATTTGCTTGATCTCTCGATGCAAACACTGAGCGTTCGTCGCCGATCTTGCAGTGTGGAGCGCCGTCAAAGGGAGCGATGCAGAAATTGATACTCTTCCCAAGCTGTATTACATCGACTTGCTCCAGAACGGCATTATTGGGGAAGAACCCGGGATCTACCATAGACGTATGCGCCCATGGCATATGTATGCTGCTCACGTCGCCATACTTCGGAATGTAGCATGGAATAGTGTCACATCCCCGCTCCAGCGCCGCCTTGAACGTCCTGTGATCCCCGCACGGATTGTAGGTGAGATCCACGCAACCGCATTGTAGCTCTCCCCCTTCAGCCGTGTCAGCCATCTCCACCAAATTGATGGTATAGCTATACATTTCTATTATTTCTTTCCC